CTGGGTTGGGGGAGGAAAGGAGGGTGGGGGGTTTTGAGAGTTAGTGTGAGTGAGTTTGATGTCGGGGGTGTAAGGTGTAATTGTGGCTCTCCACCCGCTTCTCCTCTCCTCTCCCCTCCCCTCTCCTCCCTTGCCTGCCTGCCTTCCTTCCTCCCTCGATCTATCCATCGATCGCATGCGGCAGCAGCTCCACCACCACCTGCACATGTTCTTCCATCTGAATCTTCGACCCCCTCTAACCCCATTTTAGGGTTCACGAAACCCAAGCCATCGCCGCACATCAGCAGCAGCACCACCATCTCTCCATCGCAATTTGTGTTTCCCCTACCCCATCGCTATGAAGACGTGCACAGAGCATCCGAGTTTTCTGCTGCTGCTGCTGCTCGCGATTCCTCTTCCACTGTCGCCTTTCCTACTCGTTCGCGCTTCCTCCTCGTCCCTACTGGGAATTGCTCCGCCAGGTCCGTCAATTCCTTAATTTTTCTGTCATTATTGCATTCTTCCTTGGCATTGGCTGAGCGTGGGCAATTTCCCATCATCGTGCATTCTGTTGGTTACTCCTCTGGGGTGAAGTGGGTATGGCAGCATTCTGGTAATTCGTTTATTTCGATTTTATTGCGGTGGCTTTTGGTTTTTTAACTTTCCGGGCCTCTCTCTCTATTACATTGTTGCTCTGTTGCGAGATGTTGGAGGGTTTGTAGGAGGCTCATAAGCGTGGGTGGATGGATTTTCCTGTCGACCTTAATGTTCTTCTCTGCTCTGTATGAAAGCTGGACAAGATTTCAACGCAATGATCATAGTTCTCGTACATTCGGAATGGAGACTGAATTGCATGTGTGGCCTGGGGTTTCGTTGAGGACAGATTTGAAGTACTTTGAAGGCTCAACGTTTTTGTGTAAGGATGGTTCCAAGAGAGTCCCCAAGGCTCGACTGAATGATAATTTTTGTGATTGTGTGGATGGTACTGATGAACCTGGTAAGGGCACTTGTCACTTTTTACAATCAAATGGAAATGAACAGCTGCTAGATATTGCCTAGTCTTTATGTCGTGTTTTACAGATTTCCCTTCTTCCTTCTGCTAACTTCCTCAAATCTTTCGGCTTTTCTTGCCATACAGCGTCTTTGAACTCCTCCATTCAAGCATTGTCAGCGTTGGCTGTGTTCGAACATCTTTTATTCTTAGATGAACATGTACTTCCTTGTGTCGTGTTCGTGTATACTAAGCTACTGTGCGATTGCAATTGTCCATGATGACATGTTGATTTCTCTTCAGTTTCTGTTGTGAGCAGGTACCTCAGCCTGTCCCCAAAGTAGGTTTTATTGTAAGAACGTGGGATACGTACCTCAGAAAATATACTCTTCTCGAGTTAACGATGGTATCTGTGGTAAGAGATATACTATGAGGCATCTCTCATTCTGTTTGACATGATTTTGGAGCCCTGTTCACATTGTTGTTCACATAGTTCTCTCTGTGTTTCAGTCGGTATTGAAATTTACCACTGTAGTTTTTGAGCTCATTTTTTACCCATATAATTCTTTTGGTTTTAACATATCTTTATCCAAACTCTTTTTCAGCATGTCTAGTACTTCCTAAAAATCTCCTATCGTGCAGACTGTTGCGATGGAAGCGATGAGTACAATGGATTTGTGGAGTGCCCCAACACGTGTTGGGATGCAGGCAAAGCATCTAGAGAGAAACTAGCCAAGCAGGTAAACGTCTACAAAGAAGGCGTGAAAATAAGGCGCAGTGAAATTGAGGGTGCCAAGAAATTACGTCAGCAAAACGATATTAAATTGGTCACTCTACGCTCTACGGAAAAGAAGTTGAGCGATCAGGTTCAGAAACTCAAAGGTTTGTCTCTTCCACTGATCAGCATGTTGGAGAGCAGATGCTTATCAGTAGTTGATTATGTTAGGGTGATGTTGGAGACATAGATGATACCGTCTACTGCTACAAGGATGAAATGTTCTTATTCAAATCTGGTGCGCATATACTTTTGTAGCCTGCTGTGCGGAATCTCATACACTGGATGATTTGTTCTTCTTGCTTTCTTGATTGATACCATGCTTTAGTGAGTGGATATTGTGGTAAAGCTTCATAACTTATTCCATAGCAGTTTTATACTGGAAGCCATTTTTACAGCATGTTTCCTCTATATGAGTGTCAGGTCATGTGAGTTTAAAGTTACTATATAAGTTGTTTCTCGATTTGGGTATGCACCAAGGCCAAGTATTTGTGTTAAGGTCGTTTCTATTATTAGAGGTACAGAATTGTAGTTCCAGGCCTCTCCTAGTCACTTTTTCTAATCACAAGTCCTTGATTCTTTCTTACATATTCTGTACACATGTCAGTGGAGAAAGAATCTATAGAGGAAAGGGAAAAGCGAGAACTGGCTGACCAGCAGAGAGAAACTGAAAAGGAAGCAGAAAAGAAGCGGAAGGCAGCCAGTTCGCTTCGTGAAGAAGTGAAATCCGCTGACCAGCAATCGAATACCGAGTCAGGAGTGGTACAATTTTTGTAATCAACATTCTCCTTGATCGTGTGTCTAGTAGGGATATGAGTATCGAGGCTGCTTATTCTTTCAAAAAACGCAATAACTGTAAGGTTTATTTTAGGTTATCTTTGGGCGTTGCGACCTTCGGTTCTATGAGAAGCTCGTTCTGATCAGAGAGCATACCTGTGCTGATTTTATCTCGCAGGTTGAATCCGACAGTAAAGCTCAGAAAGCAGATGGTGCTAGTCATGAAACCAAAGCAGAATGCGCTCCAACTCTGGAAGAAACCAATGAGGATGCGCCTGAGGTGCGGTTAACAGACCTTGAAGACGAGCCAAAATTAGAGGCCTTATCGAAAGAAGATTTAGGTCGTGTTGTGGCTGCACGATGGACTGGAGAAGATACAACTGTTCATGTACCTGAAGAGAACGAAAGCCGTGACCTTGAAGAAGACAGTTTTGAGGATCAGGATAACGAGGCCGATCTTGATTCTGACGCGGAATCTGAGCATGTTGACAGTGAAGATGATGAATATTCTTCTCCCAGCGAGGAGCAACAAGTGCCTGAAACTTGTAGTCTGCTAACTTCAAGATCCTGCTCTTTCATTTCTGCAGCTTATTTACACATGTTTTTGAATTGAGATTAAACCAGTAAAGGAACCAATGTAATTAGAGGCTATATTTAACTTGTATCCATTTAATTTACATATTTGAAGCGTACATTTGCCAATGTTCTGAAACCGAAACTTTCTTTGCTCTTTCAGCACATGAACCAAAGAAGCTTGCCTGGTGGCAGCGTTTTATTCCAGGGATGATGAAACGTTTCTACAGGAAGCCTGTGGATAAATCAGGTGAGTTGGTTTTAGTGATGTGCTGACTGTTTCATATTCATTTTCTGTGTCTGTGTTGAGATTTTTTGTGTATTACGTGCATCTGCAGAAGCAGAGCGGATTAGGAACCAGTACTCTGAAGCAACAACTCAATTGGCCACTGTTCAACATCAAATTTCAGAGTTGGAGTCTAAACTGAAAGAAGACTTCGGTATGTCCAAGCTTACTTGCTTATACATCTATTTTTATTTTTATCGTGGTTCTTGCTAGCAGGATATGGTCATAACATGGTGCTATGTCTTAGTACCTAGCTGTCTGTAATGCGATTTTATGATCTCCGGCTCATGTGAAGTGCATGAGGTTATTAGTCCTGCAATGGCATGGTGATTGGCTCTTGCGGGTTGAACCTAGGTCTTTTTGTACTGTATCAAGTCCAAAAAACTGCTTCTTACACTACCCGACAGGAGTTTGAACAGTTCTAGCCATAATTGGGTCATCCCTTTTGCAGGCCCTGAGGCAGTATTCTATTCCTTCCACGACAAATGTTTCGAGTTGAAAGTACAAAAGTATGTCACGCAACATGTTGGAAGCACATGGTTTATGACACCACTTTGTGTTTTGCTTGTTAATCCTATCTTTTTGTGTGAAAAAACTGTAAAATTATCATTACATTTTGACTTAGGGAATAGGTGCTAGTCTTCAACTATCTTAAATGAATTCAGGGAACTTTTGTGATCTGTATTGGCAATATAGCACATCGGGTAATTTGAGAACTATATGGTGCTCTTTTGCTGCATGATAAGCTGTTACTTGGTCAACATTTTAACCTCATACTGTGTTGAACTTCAGATACAACTACAAGGTTTGCCCCTTCAAGCAAGCCATCCAGCAGGAGGGCCATATGTCAACACGTCTTGGGTGTGTGACCACATTCATCATTGGGTTCTGAATGAGAGTTTCATTGTGCTTCAGGGACCGTCCAAATATTTGTTTATTTTTTGAAGAAGTTTTAATGTTTGACAAAGTAAGGAAGATTCATAATCAGTGTTTTGTTGCAGCAATTGGGATGGTTTCAAGGATAATTATACTGTCATGATGTTTTCAAGTGGCGACCGTTGTTGGAATGGGCCAGATCGAAGCTTACGTGTAACCTTCTTTTCCTATTTAAACCAAATACGTGATGAGTCGTTTTCAGATGTTTCTGTAAAGAAACTCTTCTGGTCGCTTTTAGCTTGCTTCTACAACTTCGCAATAGTGAAAATACAGACAGCAATCATGTATGATACATGTGATTTAATGACTCATGGGGATATAACTACCAGGTTTTCACCTCTTTATTTTTCGGTTAAGGCGTATCCTGGGTGTAAACGTTATGACTGCTTCTTCCTGTACATGCGAAATACACATGTGCATACAACGCTGAATTCTGATGCTATTCTATGTTGTTCTTTGTACACAGGTCAAATTGCTTTGTGGAGTGAGAACTGAATTGAGGAATGTTGATGAACCTAGCCGATGCGAGTATGTTGACACCGTTCTTTTTCTTTTCCTTTTTGTCTCTTTTTATTTTGATACCTTTGAGCCAATGTATCGGGAATAGAACATGTTACGATGACGGTATAATGATTGCCCAACTAAAGGCTTAAGATGCTTCATCACACCAAAGTATTGGATTACTTATAAAAATGTTCAGAATGGAGCATCTTCCTTAACATTTCTAGTTTTATGTCGCTTCACATGTGCTACATTTAGAGATATGATTATTGCTATTTACTAAACATAGGTACCTAAGGTTGTGAGTCGATATGCTTCATTGTGATCAATTTTAGCTTCATCCATTTTTTGTCATTTTAACTCTGACCAGCTTTCGCTCAGCATTTCATTACATTAATTAGGTGGTTCCACTTCCAATACGTGTCACTGATCATAATATTTTCTGGTGTAATGTAGTTATGTAGCTGAATTGGTAACTCCCACATTATGCTTAGAGTCTAAGCTGCAGGTAATTTACTTTTCACTTATTTTTATTTTTTTGTGTGATGTGTTTGATAAGTCATGATGATTTATGAGAGAAGTTCAAGCATGTGTCTTGACATGGTTTTTTTATTACGTTATTGCTTTCTTGGTATATCAGTTCAGTGAATACTCCTTTTGTGCAACCTTTCTAGACTGATGATTTTGTCTTTAGGAGGTCCTTGGCCAGAAACTCACGTTTTATGAGAAAAGTATCATGCATAATTAGTTTATCATTCTGGTTCTTAGTTGCATAATTAGTTTATCATTCTTAATGAAATGAAAACCTTGATGAAAGACTCTGATGTTCCGATATAGATAAACAGGTATTAGAGGTAATTTATGATACTCACGTAATTAAGGCTGAGGAAAAATTAAGGCCAAAAGGAATCTTGAGCAAGTGGTCTGCGAAATTGCTCGATTACTGTCAAGTAAGAAACGAATAAATGCTCCTAGGTCTTGTTTGTAAATTTAGTCAGATTTTATAAGAAGTGTCAGGTTTGTCTTGGTGGATTAGCAAATAGGATTAAATTGTTACGGCTAAATGGGTTAAATACTGCCCTGCAGTGAGAGTTAATGTGAGGAATAATGTGCCTATATACGATCAGATTCTCTCCGTGTTAGGTTCACAAAAGAAAAATATTCTTTCAGGTCCTTGCGAATCTAGGTAAGGAATTTGTAAGCAAGAAAGGACTAGTTTTGGAAAGAAATTCGAAGAAGTGGAAACTTAAGGGAAAAGTAACTGCCCTGGTATGTCTCGATATCTTTAACTTTATGCACCATAAAGAAATCAGTAAAATTTACGGGCAATTAAGTGGTTCTAATCCACCTCATTCTAATGGAGGGGAGAAGGGGAAGGTATATATCATGAATTTATTATTATACTTATGTGATTTAACGCTCAGTAATATAAGAGAAGAGTGCAAGCCAGGATTGGAATTGAGTTGCATCTTGTTGGCGTTTCTTCTGTGAGCACCTGTGATTTAGCTGATGTGCTCAATTATTTCGTTGTTTTGACAGGAAATGCAGAAAAAGCTGGATAGACAACTCTCCGGTGTACATGATGAGCTTTAATTTATGGTTCAGAATGATAGTAGTCTGACCAGCTAGAAAGGAGTTCAATTACAAGCTGAAAACTTTTGACTCTCATCAGAGTAGAATGGTTTTGCTGCCACCTTGAGTGGTAATGAAGATCACGTTCTGCGAGTAAAAGAAATGTTAAATCTTTACAAGTAGGGAGAGTCTTAAGCGCAGTTGCTACTTATACAACTCTATATTGCCGCTACATTTCCCGGCTTAAAAGAACCCTAAATTAAAGCCCTAAACCTACCTTGCCTATTCAGTTATCTTGATAACCAATTCGGGTGTAGCAACTCTTTTAACACAATTCAGTGACACGGAGTACAGTTTTTGCTGTTATCATCTGTGTGGTGCACAAGCTTCTGGAAGGGGTAGGGTTTCAGGATGAAATTCATGCCTAACTCGACTCCACGGTATTAGTGGCGTTGATCCACAGCACTAGACCCCCTTGTCTCTGGGTTTTGTATGAATTGCTGACTGCAATGTCTGCCTCCTCGGGCTTGTGCAATCCTTCATCGACCTACCTGGAACCCGGGCAAAGATGAATTTTCACGTTCGTTGGCTGCTAAATCAAGTGGTGCCAATAGTGAAACCGTTACGTGTGGTGATGGTACGCAGGGACAGTAAATTGGGGAAAGTGTACCTCAAGCTGCAGCGGTATTTTGCATGTCAAAATGCTTCCCGAGGATGATGATTTAATGGATGTTACAAGAAGTGCTGGTGTCTTTTGTGTCGAGGAATATCACCATGGAGATAGACAAGACAAGTGGGGAGAAATAATCACCATGGAGGCTTTGCAATCTGTAGTCTCTCACCCTCCTCAATACTCCGCCGTCCCTCCCTTTTCTACATAGCACTCATTCAATGCTTGTTAATAGCTGATTTATCCCACCATCAATACAGTATGCCTTCTTCTGTAAGGCAAAGCTCACACCTCAAAATTCAATTTTGAAACTTTAATCATCGAATTAAGAACCGTTCATATCGATCCTTGAGTATCTAGTTAAGTATACCTGGCTTTGATAATGAAGTTGAAACATGGTTTCAAACTTTAGTTTTACATCACTGCATATTTTTGTAAAGAATTACGAACGCTTCTGATTCGAAAGTGTTGTTTCGATTATACCCTAAAATAAACATATCAAAAATTAAAATAAGTATACTCTAATAATCAGCACTAAATAAATTTTGAATTTAAAATTTAGATAATACTCTCAAAACATTGAAGATTTCATGTTCAAACAAATTAAACTATAAATAAAGTAAAAGAAAATATGAAAACAGTTGTGAATAATCTCTAAGTATATACTTTAAAAGGAGATTTTGAATAATGAGTAATCCGTGCATAATTTAAGGCAGATGTGAAGCATGTTCTATAGATTAAAGTAGGAAAAATCAAAACCCAAACAGAATTTCACACAGAAGTTAAAACTAACAACAGTGATATAATGAAAGAAAAACGCTCTTGTGGTACATGGCAAAGAATTTAAACTGAACACGTGTATTAAAAAAAACACAAATATAAGTGTAAAATGTAAGACAATGTTTTATACAGAAAGTGCCGAAAAGAAGCTTGTGTAAATAATGGAACAATCAAAATATGTTATACAAATATATATAATATAAAGTATGAAGTAAATAATGAGTAGAATATGAGAGAGAATGTTAGTGAATGAGCATGTCGGAGGCCGATCACCAGAACCCTGTGGAGGAGCAGGTCCCATCACCACGCCTGCAAGTCCAATTAGGAAGGGGGGTTCCATGACCATGGAAAGTTAGCACCAAAGCGGCGCTGCAACGCCAGCACTTGTAAGGGTCGAAAGGATCAGACCCTTGCACTTGTAAGTTAAAAAGTTTGAGAGCCTCGGCGATCCCCAAGCCCATGGGAGTGCCGTGGCGAGGGGGCAAAGGAGCGGTTGGGCGGGCCACCTCCCTCTCACCAAGGGACCACACGATGCGGGGGCAGCTTGCGGTGCGAGGGAAAGTTTGTGTATTCCCGAAGTCGAGTCCCGGGTGATTCGGAAGGGTTCTGGAGACCCCGACGACCCCGAGAGTACAGTAAGTTAGTATCGTGAGTCTGGGTTGCGGAATTCAGACTGTGTCTGACTGCCGGAGGAGGCACCAGTTCATGAGACTAGTACTAACGAGGTTTTCCGGTGGTTGTGTTTCAGGGTGAAACAGGGTGGCAACAAGAAGTTCCCGTTACATGTGGTATCAGAGCCGAATTGAGAAATAGAACTTGGAGGGAAATCTCTGAAGACCACTTTTGACTAGGGCAGAAAGGCGTTAGTCAGAAATGGGGAAGAGAACTACCAAGACTGCCTTTCAACGATTAGACAAGGATGTCCTCGAATCTGAAGTACAAATGGAACAAGAGGTTCCCAAACCAAAAAAGAGATTGGTGAAGAAACAACCTTTGCTTAAAGAAGGGCCTCCGTGTATTCAAGAAATGGAAAGTGAAGAAGAGGTTCAAGTAGAGCAAGAGGAGTTTGAAGAGAGTTTACAAGTAACTCAAGAACCTCATAGTGATGAGGAAGAAAATGATAAAGAGGGAAGGAATCCTAAATCACAAAGACCTTCTTCTTTAAAGACCTCTCCGGACTCAATGAAAGGATCAAGGGTGGAAAAACAAAGTGTTGTTTCCATTGATGAAGTTGAAAAAATGGTCATGAGGTTGATGGAGGAAAAGAACAAAGAGTTAGAGAAGAAGATGGAAGTGAACCAACTTCTTATAGACTCTTTAATGAAAGAGAATGTGAGAAAGGAGGCCCTACTTGAAGGTCAAAAGGGCAAGTCAAGTTCTCATAGAGCCAAGACAGATCAAGCAAGAAAGTGGAAAGGTACATAGCACAAAAGAACTGTAAGAAGATTTCTTAAGGAAATTCAACATTGGCATTTGGCCAATGATATTGAAAGTGATATAGACAAGATAAGGACCTTGTCTGTATTACTTGAAGGAAGTGCTTTGGATTGGTTTGATGGAAAAATCAAGACCAATCCTAATTATGCCAAAGAAACCATTTGGATTGAAGTTTGTAATGGACTTATAGCAAGGTTTGAAAATAAGTGGTAAAACTTCATTGAAGGGTTGCAACTTCTCAAACTAAGACAAGAAGGAGGAAAGGCCTCACTTCTTAAGTATGTTGGTGAATTTCAAAATCAACTAACTTACATTCAATTGGATTATAAAAATTGTTTATTGCTTTTCTTCTATAATAGATTGAATATGGCAACAAGAAAGAAATATTGGGAAAGAGAAACTATACCCACCAATATAAATGATGCCTTTGCCTTAGCATGTCAACTTGAATTGAAAGAAGAAGAGGTGAGTCATAGTGAAGAAAGCACTATGACTAAAACTTGGGAAGGAAAGACTAACTTCCAAGGAAGAACTAGGCCTTTCCACGGAAACAAGAAACCACCTTTTCCAAAGAGGAGATTTGAAGAAGATACTTCTCAAGTTGGAAAACTTAAGATCAAAGAGAGTCAGAGAAGTAGTACTAAAAGGGCAAAGACAAGTTCACCCAATGTAACTTATTTTAAGTGTCAACAAAAAGAACACTATGCAAATGAATGCAAAAATGAAGAAGTCCCTAGAAATGTAAGCAAACTTCGTAATACTTATTTGTTAAATGAGACTCTTGAAGTAGATTGTCTTCAAACTATGAGTCTTAGTAAAAAGGTTCCGGTTAGAGAAGGGGATTTTCAAAGAAAACTCACTTTAACTAGTTTGCATAAGAAACTCATCTATCTGAATATTAAAGTTAGAAATCTTGAAACCTCTATGTTGATTGACACAAGGGCAACCAACTGTCAAGGACAAAGATTCAATGAGGGAAAATATACACAAAAAGACTATCTCGATATAATAAGTCAAAATATAAACAAGTAGGTATATTAAAAGGAAACTGGAATGGCTATTGCCACAAGACAAGAAACTAAAGACTCTTGAACCTGGACTAGAAGCAAGAAAGGAGTTGACAAGAGTGAAGAAGCCTTCACTCTTGTCTCTATATATACTATCTAACTAGGGGCTACGTGGTGACGTTCTATAGGACCTCCAATATGTGTTGACTTTGTAGGACACATGCCTTGACTTACAAGGCAAGTTTTTCTACGTGTGGACCACATAATTAGCTTGATCTTCAAGCTAACAACATGTGTGGCACATGGCCAACTTGTTGACCACGTTTCTAATCCAAAAAGTCAATTAAAGACACCTATGAAGTTAAAGCAGCATCTAGGAAGTTTCTAAGAAGCTTCTATATTAAATATTATAGAATTAACTTACTTTTATCTACTTTTACTTACTTCTACCTATTTCTATATGTAATTATTAGCTTACATGATTATGGCCGTGACATTACCCCCCCTTCTAGAGACGAGTTCCACGAGGAGCGGTCATCATATGTTGAGAAAATCTATGATGCGACGAATTATATTCGCCACATACTCTGATCTCTGTTCTCTTCGAAGATGATTGATAGGGCCTCTCAACCATCGGTAGTGTCTCATACCAGGGCGGAAAGACCACCCAGTTATTTGATCATTGTTGAGGCCTTCGTAACTTCCTTCGAATAGAATATTTGGAACACCATCAGGAGTTGTTCCTACCTCTAGCAAAATCACCAAACATTGGGAATCCCTTCCCAAATCGTGATACCAAACGCGTTGTATCTCACCATCTATTCGAAGAAGAACATGTCGTTCTTGAAGATGTTCATCTCGATTGCATCGTCTTGAAGGTTGTGACAATCGTAATGTCTCGTCCGGTAGGTCAGCAAACGAAGGTTCTTGAGTTGAATCCGCTGGTTGTTGGCTCTCCATCTAATTAGCGTCACAAATGCAAAGAAGTTACAAACAAAGATAGGAAATTGAATGTTATCTTGCCTCAATCTTGTCTCTTTTATAAAAGAGATTTTCATCTTGGTTTCGATAGATGTCGTTGATGAAAAACTTTGACTTTAGCTGATGCATTTGCTAGATTCCTGGATGGCTCCCATGTGCGTTCACTAATATCATATCCGCGCCAATGAACAAGATATTCCAGCTTATTTTGGCGCCGTCTTGAGTCTAATATCTCTTCCACCTCAAATTCTTCATTATTATCTACTTCTATAGGAGGCGGTGGCATTTGTCTTCTTCCTTGTATATCCACTTTCTTATATGGTTCAAAAAGAGACACGTGAAATACAGGATGGATCTTCATTGACTCCGGTAGATGTAACCGATATGCAACTGGGTTGATCTGTTCAGAAACAGAAAAGGGGCCAAGCCTACGATAGTCCAACTTGTCACAAGGTCGAGTAGTCTTGATATTGCGACGAAGTAGCCATACC